GGGTCATCTTTTCATAATTGTGGTCGTTCTGGGTCACACTAATATTGATCTGTATGATAGGGGAAGCAGCACAAGCGGATGGTGGATATTATCAATATTTTCATATTAACAATGGATCATGTGACTACATGTGACGGTCACAGATGAAGAAATATCACCCAAGTTGCCCCCTTTTAGCATCTTTTAGCTCATTGTTTCAGTTTTGCAGCCTGTGACTTTACTGTTTTGTCTCTCATATGACGTCCAGCTGTTTTCAGTGAAAAAGCTTTGATAAACCCACCTCTACACTTTTTTCATCAATGTCAGACAGAAAAAATTAGTGAACACAGTGGAGCATTTAGCAGATAAAGAGCCAGTTATTCCCCACAGGAGTTGGTAAAGACCAAAAACAGAGTTAAAAGGAGAATACCTATTGTATATAAATTCACCATATATCTCATGTGTCAATGCTGGCTTAAATTTTGCATCAATCATTTATGATTTTCAGGATTTTATTAGGATCCCCATTAGCTGTTGCAAAGCACACACTGTCAGTCCCCCCCCCCCCCCCCCCCCCCCACTCTAAATGAAGGAGCTATTTTGGCTAACTGTGTCAGTGTTTTCATTCAAGGATGTGCAGCCAATTTCCTTTAATCAGGAAGTATCTGAATGTGTAAACAACACCTGACAAAGAAATTAGTGCTAACTTTTGGTACTTAGCAGTGTTCAATCAGTTGGTGCTTAAAAAGTAGTAAAGTTTGATACTCAGGCACAGTTCTGTATATGAGTCTAGTCTGGGCCTCCAGAGATAAAACAGACCACACTTTGGGATCCAAAAAGTGCATTGTATCCCTGTGATAAGTGTGTTGCCTCCAGTCTCAAGGATCTAATGAGAGCTTTATATCCTTTAGTAAGCCATTCGAGAGACTAATGTCCCCTGAACTGTTTCTACTGAGCAAATTATGCATTGCTGTTAAAGCCAGAGCTAGACAGACCGTCAGTCACTTTAAGGCTCACTGTCTCAGTGACTCTGTTGCCTGGCCTTGTTCCACAGTAGAAAATGTCTGCCAAAAACCGCTTTTCTGTCCTGAGAGGACCAGAGACAAACGCACAAAGAGTTTATGTGTGATTGAGCAGGAGGCGCGGTAGGGCCTTTTTACACATTGTACCAAGTGCGAGCTCTCCTGTCTCTGCAGCCACTAAATGAAATAGATGTTTTCCTACTTTTATGTGTGAGCTAATTGGCTTTTGCAACACTCTGCCCTCACCCTGACCCTTATGAAGATCATGCTCTCTCTCTCACAGTTCAGCAAGCCAGGATTTACTCCACTTTCATCTGTACCAAAAGGTAATTACCACTGACTTTTGACCTGTGAGTGTCAATTCTACGGGCTACAGTGCGATTACAGTCAGTCCAGTCGTAGCTGGAGGTTGTGCGATGTTTATGTGAGTCCTGGTTGCACTGGCGATGTAGTTTTTGTAAACTCTGTGATACACCAGTTGCTCTAATTATATGGCAGATCATATTTATTTTGTAATATCTGAGTAAAAGTACATGCTGTACACATGATGGGGTTTACAGTCCAGCAAAGTGCTGCATTTGAAAACAAGATAAATCAGTCACACTGAACAAAGAACACTGGTTGAGTTGAGTGACAATGTCCCATTATGACTGAGAATGTATGGCACTCTTACTATAGCTTATTGTACTGTATAGAAGCTGTGTTTCACATAGCTGAGCCAATCAATTTTAATCCCTCTGACAATGCTATAAGGTCTTTTACAGCAGTGGTTCCCAACCACTGAGCTGCAGGCAAGTACTTGGCTTTGGAACATTTGGTAGCAGACAGAGAGGAAATATTATGATTCATAAAGAAAAAGCTGAATAATAATCCTATAATTTCATAGTCCTTTTTCTTTACTCATCACTCCCTTTATAACCCAAAACAACAGACTAGTTATTTTGAACTGGAGTAGTTCATTATTACATGCGGTCATCAGTCCACCATCATTCACTCAGATACTTGGAGTGTTTTCTCTAAGATGAGACGAAATGCTTTTCAGTTGGTTGAACAACATCTAAAACCCCCTACACACACACACACACACACACACACACTTTTTGCTTCTGACAACTTCTGTTACTTTCCAGAACCAACAATTTGACAATCTTGGCCACTTTGCGCAGCAGGTGTGCAGAGGTGAAACAGCAAACACAACTTTAACTTCTCTCTCAAACCCTGTTTTTCATTGTTTACACAACAATTTCTGTTGCTTTTGCTGTGCACAAAACAGGTGCAACAGTACAAATGCTATCCAGAAAAAAACCCATTATTTACCATATCTAGATAATCATCGCATCTTCTTCCTCTCTATTACGGCTATTTCTTGAGCCCACTTTTGGGTGTGGCCAAAAAACATTTCTGTCTTCCAGTGCAGTTGTAAGAAATAGTTCAGTTTGAACATACCACCGCCTTCACTCTTGAAACTAGGTAATCTGTAACAAACACAAATGTCAGTTGAGAGTTTTTCCACTGGAAAGATCAACATGTAATGTGTCTGACCTTATCCAATCCCAACGGCCTCTCTGCAAAATGAAAATATGAAAATGGTCCTCAGTGCAAAAATGCTTGTATAGTTTAAATTTAAGGTTTGTGAAAATGTACCGAACATAAAGTACACTCCAGAATTAGATCTGTATTTGGAAATCGGTTGTGTGGATGTCTTATTAATCTTTTTATTCATTCCAGAAGTATCTAAACACTCACAAGGAATTTGACTCCAGTTGTCAGTAGCTCTCAGTGAACATATACACATTGATGAGAACTAGTTTATAGGACGACACACAACTTACACAGCTAAACAAAGATAAACAAACATGAACAAATAGATATTTTATTAGGGAAAGTGTACATATATCTATATCTATATATATATATAACTGGCTATCATACAGTATCTACTGTATATAGAGATTGTTTCTGTATTCTGCAGATACTGAGATGTGGTCTGGTTGTTTTTTTTTTTTTTTTTACATGGTTGCTGTAGCTATCTGTAGACCCTGCTGTCTGACTACTAGACATAAACCCCTGACTAAGCATGCCCCCCTGCATGGTCAGAAACTTCTCTGGTTCCTGACTGCTCATACAATAGGATTAGAACAATTAACTCCCAGGGTAGCGAGAGGTCTGACACGTAGGCCACAGACACCCAGACATCATGGGATGGGATGGGAGAGGGGATGATGTCATAGTTCCTGAGTCGTTGAGTTGGGATTTGGCAAACTAAGAGTGATTACACTGATAAAGCACGCAGGTTCAGTGCACCTCCACTGATCGGCTGCATGACCGAAAATGTTATTTCTTCAGAGGGATTTCATAGGGAGACAAAGATAGAAACGGCGAGGCTCAGGCTGTACAGACCCTCGCAGTTCACACAAAAGATACAATCAGGGAAACAAGAGAAAGGCGTGCTGTGGTGATGTGGTTTAATCTGACAGAAACACTGGAGTCCTTTTCAGATTTAGGGCAGAAATGTCAGCTAACAGTAACTGTGCATGGAGAAATGAGACTTAAAGTTGACAACCACTTAATATCTTAAGATCTGTGGTCACCTTTAAAAGCAGGTCACAACCTATCCTATTAGACTTGCCTTTGAGTAGAGTTTTACCTATTAATCTATTAATCTTAAACTGTGCCGCACTTTGTGATGTCTGAACTAGAAAGCTGCTAAATAAATGGATCAAAGTTATTCCAATTCATCCTCCTGGGAACCATGAATGTCTGTACCAAATTTCACAGCAATCCATCCAATAGTTAAGATAGTCTAATAACAATGTGAACCTCATGGTGGTACTACAGGAAAAGTCATTAGATTAAATCGTCTTGGAATCATAAATGTCTGAACGAAATTTTGTGCCAATCTATCTTGTAGATATTGAGATATTTCACTGAATATGTGAAGTATTTGATCTGATTGTGGCACTACAGGAAAAGTCAGAGAATCCTCAAAGTAACTGGAGTTTATCTTCCACAGACTTTGAATATCTGTGGAACATTTTAATGGCAACCCATATCATCACCAAGGCCATTAGGATTCATCCTCTGGGGACCGCAAATGCCTGTACAATCCAAGCCATCCAGTAGTTGTTGAGAGGTTTCAGTCTGAACCAAAGTGGTGGACCAACAGAACCCCAGACCAACACTGACATCCCAAATAAAATAATATTAGATAAAATAATATTAATAGGATGCACTTAGAGGCTTAACAAAATATATGTTTCGAATTTTAAAGCATGTATTCATAGTTTTTGGAAAATTGTAGGTTGTATGCATGCGTGTGTGTGTGTGTTTGAGTGACTTTTTCTTTTCCCAAATCCATTTCCATTCTTCACACTTGTGAATAAATGCAAGCCCGGGAGAAAACAATGAATTGTAGGTGTTGCTCTATTACATCCTCAGTTTGAGAAGCAATATAAGTTCTTATTGGAGTGAAAAAATGAGGGGAACAACATAAAACAGCTTAACAAAGAGAAATAATGTATCAAGCATGTCAAGAGTTTGAAGGCACTTTGCAAGTACACACTGTTTCAATAACCTCCTGTACTCAGACCTTTCCTGTCCCAAGCCTTTACACAGAGTCATTTATAGCTCCTCGGGGAGTTTAGGAGAAAGGCTCAACCGGGACTGACCCCTGAAAGCTTCAAAAATCTTTCTTCCAGGTTGTTGAAGTGGACAATGCCTGTTGTTTAAAGTAAACCGGATTCCTTATAGCTGCAACTTCAATATTCAATTGAATAACACAGATAAATCAGCTAATACAGGATATCAGCATCTCAGAAAGCATCTTATCTCTTAGAGTGCAGATATTATTTGATATCCTTTTAGGTCCCACATACTATAGGGCCCTGCAGTGGAACTCTAACCTTGTGTGTGAGCACAGCACATGACAGAGGGGTGGAGAAAGTGTTGTAGGGGCACGGCACTAAGCCTCCCACAGCCAATAAGAACTTGACTGACCTCACCATTTAGCACTATAGTGTTGAGTCGTCCAGCAGTTTGATCTGGGCACTGAATGAACTCGACTTTTCAACTTCACTTTAGTCACTGGAAACAGATGAAGTCTGAGGCTGAGGCGCCACTGGCAACTTGTGGACTGTCACAGTGGATGTAGACCCACAGATCACTCCTGGAGTGTCTGTGAAACACATGCAGTGATTTTTTTTATTTTTTTATTTCATACATATTGAGAGACTCTGTCCTATTCAATGATGTCTGCAGTGTGTTAACGTGCCTCAGAAACTGCTGTTTATCTGCAGAGCTCATCTGGCCTTGTTCGAGAGCTCCTGCCAAGGTAAGATACTTGACAAAGACACTACGCACATTCAACATTTGCCAGACATCACTTTAAAACTAATTACTTGCACAAGTACTCTATTTTCAGATGGGTGTTCATGAAAGATGTATTGGTTTTTCGATGCTTATTATGTGAGTATGCAATTTCCCTGAGCAAATATTAAATACACTATTTTAATCTATAATTTATCAGACAAATTCACTAGATCTAGTAAGTGGTATTACAAACCTGAGGTCATTAGAGGCCCAGAGCAAGAATGAAAACTCCTTTGCCAGAAGCACAAAAACTAAAAAAAAAAAAAAAAAAGAAAAAAAAATTAGCTGAAGATGTAAGATTTCATATTCATTCAACATTCGAATGTTGTGAATCTAACCAATCTATTAATAAAAAAGGTAGATAAATAAATGAATAGATTAAAAAAAGAATCTGAATTTAATTAACGTAGAAGAAAGTTTGGCCCGACACTCTTCTAGCAGAGAAGAAATGGTGCCCTTGAATGCAGCATATGAATAACATTTCTATATGACCATGTGTTTTGCCTCAGTTATTCCTCTACTAATGTTGGTCACGTCAACATTGTTCCACTGCTTCACAAACCAAACCCAGCGCTGCTACTAAGTTACCCACATTTAGTCAAATTAATTCAGAGGACGATTCAACCTTATATTCTTTATGCATTGACTTTAAATCCTGTTGTCCCTCTGCTGAGCCACCCTGCTTTGTGCTGGTATCTGTGTGCTGTCAAGTGGCGCTTTGAGGCCGCCCACTTCGATTGTTTTATTTAGCCCTTTACAGTGTGTGTGTGTGTGTGTGTGGGGGGGGGGGTCAGTATTGGTGCCTCTGCCCATTTGACTACTTATGTCATTCTCCTACCTGGCTTAAATGAATCAGCTCTGCACTTTTCACTGAATTTTTTGATTCTGTTCTCTCCATTTTCGAGCCAAGCGATCAATCCTCAGTATGAAATTATCTGTTTTATTCATTACTTCTGCACTTCTGTCATTTTATCTGGAGTCCTGTCTGTCTTAACTCGTTCCTCTATTCATCATCTAATGTCACCCTCTGAATTTTTCATTCTTTAAAAATACTGTCAATGCTTTTCTCTGCTGCCAGCACAGAACATTTCCCCAGCATACTGTCCTATTTGAGAGGCCGCCTTGTGGATGTGTGGTGACTATTTTAAGACAGTGAAAATCTTTCAACCGACCTTTCTTGCAATTATGCAGACCTTCCATTTTGAAAGTGGAAACTGTGACAGGTGTGAAGTGAAATCCAGAACATTCAGCTCTTCTATTTATCAAAGGTGGCTACAAGTTCATAACTGTTATACTAAACCACCACAGGACAAATATCACATTCGCACTTGAATGTAGCCCACATTTAACAACACTGGTATCATTTAAAAGTAGCAACGGCAAAAACAATCCTCCAATATTCAAGAAGAATGAACTCCAAAAATCAGAAAGTAGAGAAACAACAAATCCTTTGTGTGTGCAAGCTGATTGCCAAGTAACATCAATTAGGCTAATGGTGTCTCCAGCCTAGACATTGGTGATTTGTAAGACTGTAGTGCAGCATTGCAGCCACCGTCTGGGCCGCAGTGATTATGATACTGGCAGAAAAGATAAATCTAACCAACCTAATAAAGTTGAATACAAATATTTAACATCTAATAAGAATCAAAAGGAGTTAAGAGTTAAAACAAGTATTATAAAACTAGACACATTAATGAAAAAGGAGAACTATTTATAACAAAATTAATTATTGGAAATTTCTTGTCAAAAGTGAGATGAGATCTGTAAATATGGAGCTGTGTTTATCTTAGCTTAGTATAAACACTGTGCGTATAGGGGAACAGCTGACTAACTTTTACATCCCATCCCTGTTTACATACTGGTGAACTAAATAGATATATAAGTATGTTGTGATATTTAACTTTTACAGAGCTAGGCTAGCTGTTTCTCCGGTCTTTATGCTCAGCTAAGTTAACTACACAGCCTTGTACTTAATGCTCAGATTAATACTGAGCTAGCTAATTATTTTCCCAAAATAGTGAATTATTCTGTTTGCCATTATGGGTGTAAATGGTGCTCTAAAAAACTCTGAAGACCTTGCGTTGTACATGTAGTGCTGTGAGTGTTGACATGTGATGACGTGCCTCAAAAATCACCATTGTGTAGGCCTGTTCCACCAATATGTTACTAACCAGCGACATGACAACCTGTTGTTCCCAACATCTCTACCTCATCCTGATGACTGTGTGAAACTAAAAGCTTAAAAACAGCGGACACCATTCTGTCACTGTTCAACTTTACTCATAGTATTACATGCTGAGAAATCCTTGGTCATCCGATGTATAAAACACACAGCACTTTATGCTCACATATGTTCACTTTATGTGTTTTGCATATGCAAATATAATTTGTTGCAGCCAAGCGGTTACTATCTAATTATTCCAAGTGACTCATAATGTCAGAATAAATGAAAAAAGAGACAAAAGTTCTTATTTCCATTACATATTGCATCTGTAGAATAATGCAGGAGGCACATTTACAGCTGCACAGCAGCAGCTAAAATCCCAGCTCAATAACAAAAGTTCTTTAACACATTAAATATTCACTACTCGCTGCACACAACTGGCTTATCCAATAAGTTTTCAGAGCACTAAACCAATTCATCAACCAAATCAAGTCCTCCTTGGCTGAAAAACACTATATCACCACCCACTACCGAGCATAGCCCTGAGCTATTGAGCAGTGTAAATTCAACCTGTATTCACAGTCTGATCGATGATCTCTGCAGATATTCTCCCCTGTGTAAACAATACAGTAAGTTGTTTGACTCTGCAGATGGACTCTTATTCATCACCTCTAAAGTGAGACTGTGGAAGATCAGCGGGTGGGAGCTCAGTGAATACATGCAGAGAGCAATTCAAAGCAAAGCAAGGCAGGAAATGGAACCGTTAATCTTAAACTGTTATTGAGTTAGAGAAAGCATAAACACTTCAGATGTGAAAAGCACTTACTGGTTGTTAAAAAGATATGAAACATGGCTATAATTGTATAATTAAAGGGTGAAAAGGTTTGCACTTTTGCAGTAGCAATTTTGTGTGTTTTGCTTCTTCTATTTTCTGTTTGACGTGCACACAGTGTTTTATCCACAGCTTTGAAACATTTGACATCAACGCCTCTGAACAGTGCTGTATCAAATTTGCAACTGAAAACCTTCAGCAACAGTTCAACTGCATCTTCCCACATTCCCACCATCATAAATGGTTTAAAATGAAGTAAAACCTGCATAAAAAGTAGAGTAAGAAAGTCAGTTTGACAAACAGATTTTTAAAACATACATCACAGCCATATTTCATGTAGTCTTTACCATTGTTGAAAGGTGAACTTGCAAGTGATAAGGTGATATGTAGTAACAATGTTAGAACACTTTCGCAACAGAAAATATTCAAACTGCCTGTTTATTTTTTGAAATCTGTATCAAGTCTTGATTCCATATTAAAATGGTCATAAAACTAGTTTACATTTACTCTTTAAATCCTCTTGTTAATGACAAATTAGATCATGGTTGATGAAATGCTTTATAAGCAGGGGTCAAATTGGGCCAGAGCTGAACTCAGTCTCCTTCAAAATGATATCATCATATTGTATTTTTTTTTTAATTTTCCTGTCAACCTTATAGCATACGGTTCTTGATATGTAATTCTCTAGAAGAGAAAGATTGGAGGCGATTTCTACACCAAACCAATGTTAACATCCAGCTTTATCAATTACTGGTATCAATGATCAGAGGTCATCAGACGCTCACGTTATCAAATGCATCAGTGAGCAGGTACGGTCTCTAATCATTTTTCTCTGTAAGTTTTCAAAAGTTCATTCCTGAGTTGGCTAACATTTTATATGTATTTACTAAGCTGTATTGCCTTGGTGAACTAGACATGTTTTTAGGTTAGTATGCCTTTGCAAAAATCAAGAATGCAGTTGTACCTCAATACTAAAATCTAGTGATATAATTGTACATTTTAGGGAACATAATTAAAGAAAAAGAAAGCCTCAGAGCTACTCTGAAATATAATTATGTGTTAAACAGGCTTTGTGTGCACAGACAAAGTCTGAACATCAGAGCACAGTTGTGTACATTACAATAGTCCCTGATTTGAGATAATGTAGGTTCAATTGATCTGCTATTGAAGTTGTGATTATTCATTCTTGTGCAACATTACAACTACACCAGCTAGTGGTGCTATGAGAATAGCTCCCACTAGAACCTGTGTGTGTAAAATAAACAGGTGGCATTGGATAGTTGTTGTGAAACCATTTAATTTATTGTTTGTACTTTGTTGTCGCTGTTAGACTTTGGCGATGGCCTTGTGAGTATTGAGAATAGCAACCTTCAGGTTTAACATAGTTGAGGGCGGTCTAGTAGCCTGCAACCTACTACCAGACTTTAGACTCCATGATGTTTTTCTAAAAATAATTTCAAACATGAAACAGACATTCTTCTCATAATCATTTCCTGTCCTGTTCCACCATTCATAAACTGTTCTTGATGAATTCTTGGTTTTTATAGCACCTCAGTCTAACTGATTAGACTAGCGCAGGTGGTTGTCTCTTGACATAATCCAAGAGGTGAAGTGGTGTAAAAATGCAGGAAATCTGTTTTAAAGAGAAAGCCCTCCCCACACACACACACACACACACACACACACACACACAAATTATCTGTCTTTCAAAGTTTGCTCCCCCATTTTAAAACATAATCATCTGTTCTGTCCAACTGGGGTGGCGGGCCTTCAAAAACATCCATAGCCTTAGAGCCTACAGTAACTATTTTCAACAATAATAACATGTTCTCTTTGGTTATTCCAGCTCATAAATAGAAAACAGAAATTTGAAAGAACCAGGAATAGTCTTACATACCAACAGCTAATGAAATTTTCTGTGCTGCTTTGTTCTCTTCTGAACAGGTCCTCATATTCGTAAAACGTCTTCAAGTTGAAGAGGAGTTTTGTGAGCAAACATGGCACCTGCTGTCGGTGGTCCTCAAGGCTACACACCACCTGAAGGTGGCTGGGGATGGATGGTGGTGGTTGGGGCTTTCATCTCTATTGGCTTCTCTTATGCATTTCCGAAGTCCATCACAGTCTTCTTCAAAGAGATTGAGGTGATCTTCAATGTGACCAGCAGCCAGGTGTCCTGGATCTCCTCCATCATGTTAGCAGTCATGTACGGCGGAGGTGAGCTACCATCCAAAACACAACCTGCCAAGAAGATTTATAGATTTAATCAGTTTCTGGCTTTTAACACAACTGTAAAATATTTATTCTTGCAGTTTTCAGTTAAAGCCAATCCAAAAGGCGAAGCTTTTTGCTCTGATACAGACTTGTACAGTGCAGCCTGTCAGCCTTGGTTTGTCCACTAAGAGGCCACAGATTCTCAGAATTATAGTGCATCTTAAATCAAACGTTTCATACTTAGATAAAACAATGCTGTAACTCCTTTACTGACATGTTTATAAAAGTGAAACATTATATGTCTGGAGCACATGAACGGGTTTTAGCCCTGTATACCCACTGATTGTTTTCCCCTGTGCTTTGAGAGTGAAAGACCACCAGGGGTTTGGTTGTGTTCCTGTGCTGATGAAATGACTGAGACTCTGGGTGATGTCACACAGGTCTGGCCAGTCAGCAGATGATAAGGCTCTATTCTTGTGCGTGATATTCAACACGGAGAGAACAGAGTTCAAAGCAGCTCTCCTTGTCCCTCAAGACCGTCTGCTTTGAAATCATAACACTGCACTTCTCTTTACTCTAATGTGTGATAAACTGGAAAAATGATGACACAGGCATCTTTTTATAATCTCAGGGAAGTTTCAGGAAAGTTGCTTTAGTGTGCCAAACTGATGTGAGGTGGAAACTATAACACCATATAAAAACACTTCATATTGAATCTTCTGTTCTGCCATGAGATGCAAGCAATCGAATAAGAGTATTTTCTTTCCAGGCTAGCATTGGATCCATTGCATAGTGGTGAACATTTTACATCAAAACTTACTATTCATATTATATTTTTTCTACATATATCCTGTACAAGTAGATTCGTTTCCATATATCTCAGTACTACATGTAAAAGGCAAGCAAAACATCACGTCTAAGTTAAGCCCTCATTACTGTACAACAGAAGCACCATGTTCCCTGTAAAGGAATCAATGCTGCTTATTGTTCAGCATCACATTCCCTTAACAAGTAGGTGCAGGGTGTGTGCAGAGTAGAAGAAGTGGTTAAAGGTTACTGAGTTATACTGTGAATTTGTCTTTCATTTTGCTTTGTGTTATGTAATATTTCTTATCAAAGGCAGCACATAATGGATTTTAGCTTGTGTGGGTTTATCACCCCTTTTTCATGGCTGTAAAGGTGACATGCACCTCTCCTAACAAGTTATGAGCCATGGGGGACTCAGTATCTCTCAATGTTCAGGTGTAACATTAATTCAAATGTTTAGATGTAAGTATACACAGATGAATGGATGATAATTGAAAGTAAGTGAAAAAAGTGTTTGTTAGTGCTGTGAGTAGATGACAGCCGACTCTGTTTCTGTCTGTATGTTAAACATTCTGAGCACACCAGCAGGGGAAGTTCATTAACAACCTACTGTTGCGTACCTCTGTACTCCTTCAATTTTTGATTCATTACATTCATAATATTCTACATTGGTTTGTCTCCAACCTTTTCTATCCTAAGCAACTCTCCCTGCAAGGCGGAAGGAAAGAACTCATTGTTAGTGTGGAGACTCCCTGTATTACAATTTAAAAACCCTTTGTCTTGCACCGTGCTGGCAAATGAGTCTGGACAACCTCTAAACAAAAACTGTCAGTTTCTATTTAGCTTCATTGGGTAGTGCAGAGATTTGGCAGGGAGGCAGAAGTGTCTTCCATGTGGATCCTCATACTCATTTGGGCCGGTTGTTATAAGCCGTAGATAGAGATGGTGTTTTGCAACCTGAACCCTCCTTGCATTTTAGGCATTTGTTTACAAGTACATAGTGATTTTCTTGAATTGACGTTGAATCCAAGGTGCATGCATATTAATAAGTTGATTTACTGCTGCCTGGTTCAGTCACTCTTTCTTTGGAAGTAGTGTACCAGGTGCCACAAATGCAAAAAAAAAAAAAACTGTAGAAAAGATTTCAGTTGTTATATTAACCCCTATGCCTCACTCCACAAAGCACACACACATTAATACCACAACCCACTTGTCTGAACTGAGGTGCTTCCAATATTCATTTCAAATGCATTTAGAGTCCATTTAATAAAATTCACAAACAAATTATTCCTCTGTCAATTTTTATGAATCTCTGAACCAAATAAATGATTATTTAATTACAACTTTCATGGTTTTTCTGACAGATCGCATTATTAATGGCATGAACACATCTACTGCAGTGCAGCACTGACAAAAATGATTGCAGAAGTTGTTTGAATTTGCTGAGCCACAGCTGTGGCACCAGAGCCCTCTGGTGGTTAAATATACAACTGTGCATTGACTGAATAGAAATCACCATATCTCATATCTCTGTTAATATGTATGTGTCTGTTGTTGCATTGTTTTTTTCTCTTCAGGTCCTATCAGTAGCATCCTGGTTAATAAATATGGAAGTCGTCCTGTTATGATGGCAGGAGGATGCCTGTCTGGATTGGGCCTTATTGCTGCCTCTTTCTGCAATACTGTTGAAGCACTGTACTTTTGTATTGGTGTGGTGGGAGGTAACTAATTTTAACTTTCTATATTCTTAAGTTTGGTCATGACTCACCCATTTTTTCCTGTGCACTGTTGCCATCTTGTGTTCTTAGAAAATAAAAACACCAAGAAATACCAAAAAACCTCCAAATGTGTTATGCTTAAATCCTTATTCTTAAGCTCATATATTTAACATTAACACAATTATTTTGAATTGATTCTTTTAGGGTTGGGATTGGCGTTCAACCTCAATCCAGCCCTCACCATGATTGGAAAGTATTTCTACAAGAAGCGACCTATTGCTAATGGGATTGCCATGGCTGGCAGCCCCGTCTTTCTCTCCACCATGGCTCCTATAAACACCTGGCTCTTTGACCAGTTTGGCTGGAGAGGAAGTTTCCTGATTCTCGGTGGCCTGCTTTTCAATTGCTGTGTCGCTGGTTCCCTCATGCGGCCTATAGGACCAAAACCCAAACCTGCCGAGAAGCCCACAGAGAGGAGGACTGTATTGCAGACCATTAACAGCTTCATTGACCTCTCTTTGTTCAAGCACCGTGGCTTTTTGCTTTATATTTTTGGCAATGTTATCATGTTTTTTGGCCTCTTTGCACCACTGGTGTTCCTCAGTAATTTTGCAAAGAGCAAAGATATCCCTAAAGAAAAGGCAGCTTTCTTATTGTCTGTGCTGGCTTTTGTTGACATGGTTGCCCGGCCCTCTATGGGCATTGTGGCTAACACCAAATGGGTGCGGCCCAGAATACAGTACTTCTTTGCTGCCTCTGTGTTGTACAACGGTGTGTGCCATGTTCTCGCTCCAATGTCGGTAGACTACAAAGGCTTTGTTATTTATGCCATCTTCTTTGGGTTTGCATTTGGCTGGCTAAGCTCAGTGCTTTTTGAGACCTTGATGGATCTGGTGGGAGCTCAACGCTTCTCCAGTGCTGTTGGGCTGGTCACTATTGTGGAGTGTGGTCCTGTATTGTTGGGGCCCCCTTTGCTCGGTGAGTACATCACCCACAATATGAACTTCTAAGTTGACTAATGTTATTATTATTTTATTTATGTGTTGTTAACCACAGTGGAATGATGGCCATGATTGAAAAATCTGAAGCATGAGTCCTTTTGTCTTCACAGGGAAGTTCAAAGACATCTATCATGATTACAAGTACACATACCAGGGCTGCGGGATCCTCCTCATCGTCTCCAGTTTCTTCCTGTTTGCAGGGATGGGACTCAACTACCGTCTGCTGGCCAAAGAGAAAAAAGAGGAGGAGAGAAGGGCGAGGGTGGGAGGTAGAGAACAAAAGTCCAACAGGGACAACGCTGCCAAGGAAGTGGCAGAGGCTAGGAGCACAGAAGACACTGTCTAATATTCTGTACCATGTTAAGTTACATTTTAGTTCTGTTTTATGTTGAAAATGAAAAACAGATGCATGTGTGAAACAGCACAGATAGACTTTTTTCTGTCTCATTTATGGCTTCTCTGCTGTTTCATAATATGCTGTTTTTGAAGCCTTGTACGCAATCCAATGTAAAATATTAACACACCTATTAAAGGCCTTTAAACTCTATTGAACAATCCATATAATATACCTCTAACATTCTTATAGGGACTGTGTTTGGTAGATTATTCAAGTTTGCTTAGTGTTTTATGTCACTATATATTAGGGTATTATGTTTTTTTTTTGTTTTGTTTTTTTTTTATCTCACATGGTATCACCATAACTCTTCTGTAACTTTACTGCAGCACATTATATATATAGTATACTAACTTTCTAAAAATGTGCCATCAGATAATTTAAGTTAGTTTCACCAGGGAACATGTGCAGTACAGGGTTTTATTTTTTAAAAGAGAGACTGCATTCAAACATTCTCTATGAAAGTTCTTAATTATAGTATTCAACTCACTTATCACACCATCTCTCAACACATGTATAAATACCTTTTTTGTTCACAAGGACCTGATAGCACAGTGCAGTATTTCAGGGTTTGAAAACACTCTTGGTGCTACTATCACTTTGTATATTCCACAAATATATTCACACTAATTTTTCTCTTTTAAACGTGTTGTCCTGGTCCATTTCTGATGATGGATGACTGGAATCATCAATAATTATGAGGGCATTAAAACTTGTTGCATAGCTTTGTGTATTCAGATAATAGAAAGATGTGTCACTGACTACAAGTTACTGTATATGAAACACATGTCAGAAAATCAAATAAATTGTCAACTGACAAGAATATAAAAGTCCTCTGTATTCTATGCTTCACATAAATATTAAATGAGGAAAAACATTAGTTCTTTAGAGATGTGAAAACACTATTTTTCTTAGTAACTACATCTGTATTGTAGCATCATTTATTAAACAGATTGGATGAAAGAGGTTCATTATTAGATTTACTGACACTTGTTGTTTTGTAAGACAAATGCTTCCACAGCATCAAGTCATTTTTATCAAATTATGCTCTTGCCATTGGGTAGCCTATAATAATCTCTGACATTTCCACTGGTTGAACATTGCAATGTCAACATGTTTAAAACTGTACATTTGTGCATTGTTGCAAGTTTCAAAGACACAAATCAGTGCAATACTGCATTTCTCATTAAACAGAATGACATTCAACCAGCAGAGTCATGCCTTCTCTTGGTACTGAAGGCCTACTTATGAAATAAGTAGCTTTTCAACATTGCTCAGGAATTTTTTTTTTAATCTTGCCACATAAATAAATTTAAGAAAATGTAAGATACGACAAACAACAATTATACTGTAACAAAGATGAGAAGATACACCTTCATATTCCACTTTTAAATACAACATATGCCAATTTTGGTTGTTACTCTAATGCACAAGCCTGGAGTGCTGTGAAAGGGCATGGGCATCATCCTGGACTTGGTCTAGATCAAAATACTAGCTCTGCAACCTAAGACTTCAAAATTAAATTTGAAGCAATGTTCTGTACAACGCAGCTTGTTCAGTCATGCTTTTCTCCATCTAAGAAACTTAAAAGAAAAAAAGATCTGTACTGAATTTCAGGGAGACAGAGAGGATTGCAGGTGTTTTCATTTCATTCTGCCTTCCATAATACATGTCATGTTCATAGGCCACAGAATGTGTTAAATGGGTCCATCTAATCATTTTGGAAACTCTATATTTTTTTTCCTTTCATGTTTAAGTAATGCTTTATTGATCACTTTCTACTTGCATGGCCTGACTCTCAGTCCTTTATGAACTTATGATTCACTGATGAACCTGCAAACCTTATAGAATTATTAATTTTCAGAAATATTTACTAGGACAGCCTTGCGACTTTATATCATGACATAATTTAATACAATATAAAATGTATTTATATATTATATTTTGTATTGTTAATCTAAAAAGTAACTAAATATATCAAACAAATGTACTACAATATTTGCCTAACTAAAGTATAAAGTGAAATGGACCCAATAGGTAGAAGCGGGCTACCTGTCCAGTTTCTGATAATTGATGCAATGTTTCCCGTGACCGTTAAACAAATTTTGAAATAAACCGTTAACAACTTGTAGAACCGGAGAATTGTTGCTCTTGTCGTCCCCAGGTTAAAACCGTCAAAAGTTAACGTTTTAACCAGTCGTAAAAAATATTTCAAAACTTTCCAGCAACAGGCAGGTAAGACTCGGCTGTTGTTTGCCAAAATAACGCCGTGACAATTTTTAAGCTTAATGTTTTATATCTTGTTGCGTTTTTGTTACTGTTTGGTTGGGATTAGCTGAATGTAGCTAACTAGCTAGCCAGGTAAGACATCATCAAGTAACACCGGTTAACTGCAAGATAAACGGAATCCCTAGCGAGCTAATTAATCTAGCCAACGGCATTTAAACGTATGATAAGCATATAAAACGCAGTTTAATGAGGTTATACAGACGGCTCTCAATCTTTATGACTTTAAAACAGTATCTATTGGGGGCTTCTTGTCATTGTTTAAATGTATCCACAGAGATATATCCACTCTAAACTTCACAGGTGGCTTCACTAAAACAACCCTTGCCAAAAGTTGCCATTATCTGTCAATTTAATTTTAGAGAAACCCCTCATATTTGAGATTTGCTTATACATTGATGCATCAGTATTTACAATCTAGTAAAGTCAAATATAATAAAAACACACAAACTACTTTTACTGTGGAGAAAGTATAATTTATGGAATATTCTGTACTTATGTACTTAAGTGGGACTTTGAATGACAAGGTTTCCTTGTAATGGAGTAGTTTGACATTTTTGTACTCTGCTACTACTACCACTTTTTCCTATGTGAAAAATTGTTTGTGTGCTTCTTCCACCACTGTTGTACTTAACATAAGATAATAACAGCTGTATCTAACTATCTGGTCTTTTCAGGATGGAGAGAAACCAAGGCTTTAACTTCAAGCTGTTGGTGCCCCCCAGGTTGAATAACGGACAGGTATGTGCTGTTAGACCTCAGGAAATTGTTGAGAGTTGTGGTGATTCATGAATACATTTCAGCAGGTAAGTTCAATTAGCCAATAGTTAACCAACAGTAATATATTAATGAACTGAAGCCAAAACACTTTAATACTAGCTCAGCACTGACACAGTCGTTCAGCACAATAATTAGTCAACTTTTTATCAGCAGTGAAAGTTTTAAACATACAGTTTGTGCACTTGTGATCATTGTTTTCCATGCTGTAAGCTGAAAGCATTAATGAATGGAGGCAGCTGTTGTCTAACAGGCAGTAATCATTAATGCCTGTGATGACTAAGTGTAATTGCTGTTTTCCCCTAGGGTTACAGTAGGTGTTTTGACAAAGGACAAAACATGCCTTTCCCAAATACAAGCCTGGTCACACCAACTAAACCAATCAGACAAGGTATTTTCTATTATGCAACACTGGCTACATACTTTCAACACAAAGAACTGGCAGTTATCATACATGTTATTATAAATTCATAATTGTCTCTCCTCCAAAGACTTTCCCAATATGAAAGTTGTGCCACCAATGGAAAAAGACGAGGTAATATTTTCATTGTACACAAATGTGAAGCATGAATAGAATATACTTGGCCTTTGCAATGTGTTTATTCTAAAGTACCTCAGTTTACTTCCCATCATTGTGACTATTCCCTAGAATAATTGCAATCCTGGACAGCTTTGTTCCAAGCTCTTTGAGGAAGTTGAGAAAATGAAGTGTTGGAAGGTCAAAGTTGACTCTGACACTGTGCAAAAGGAGAGAAGACTCCAAGAAAACAAAAGGACAATAGAAACTCAGCGCAAAGCCATTCAAGAGTTACAGGTGTGTAACTCGGTGACAAGTTTTCTTTGTCTTTTTCTGTCCCTCTCTAACCACATACAAAGATTATCGATAATCAAGGAACAGCATACTCTAACACTCTTTGATATTTATTGTTATCTGTCATGTGTGTTCTGTTTTTACAGTTTGGAAATGAAAATCTCAGCATAAAGCTGGAGGAACAAATAAGTGAAAATGAGGATTTGAGGAACAAGTAAGGGTTTTTTTTTGAAAAAATGTTCTGAGACACCCAATTGAAGCTATGCTCTGTTAAAAGCCAGATGAATGTTGACAGAATTTCTGAATTTTTTTAAAATCTAAATTGTTTTGTTTACTTCAAATGATTTTGTTTTATAAAATTCCACATTTGTAACATGCACGAAACATGCAACCCAGGGAACTTGTTGTAATATACTGAAAGACACTTTGTCAGCGGTCAGTCTAAGAATATGCTAGCTGTGTAAGTAAAACAGTGCTTTAAATTTCTTCTGCCCATATAATATTTGTCAGCCATATGTTAAGGTTGCTGAGAATAGTTGACACATTGCTAACATTAATTTTAAAATTAATTTTCTACAATTTGTAGTTGAAGTCTGAAAAGAGAGGACACACAGTCACCAGATAGGTTATGCGGAAAATAGTGAGAGGCATTCAAGGTAAAACACTTCTAAATTAATCAAGAAATTATTATAAAAATTATTTTTTTGGACAGGGTAGCGAGTAAGAGAGGGTATACAGGACATAAGGTGTGGATTGCCAATTTAACCTTTTTTTTTTTTGTAAGAAACTGATGCAGCATACACGAAAGCCTTCGTATTCTAGCAGAAGCTTATCAAGCCCAAGAGATGCAAAAAGGTATTTTTCTTCTTTTATGTTTTATAGGGATATTTCAATACAGTAATCCTTCCAGAAAGGATTCATCCTAATGATATAGATGATTAATGATAGATCGGATTCAGCAAGATAACATTCAACCGCAAGAAATTTTTATCATTTTTTATCTTTTTCCCAGTGAAAAGAGGCTTGCCTGCAATTTTGAAGAGCTAAATGAGAAAGTATTTATCAAAGAATATGCATGAAGGATGAAGCAGTTAGTTCAGAAAAGAAGACCATTTATGTGGGAACTTTGTAACATGTAACCAACAGGTTTGAAACAAAACATTAAAGGAACTGATGCTGTTAATTCACGTAGGTGCTGGGCTTCAGATAAAAGGCTAAAGAATACGAAAGTGACTAGAGAAAGTCCTGCTTGACCTCCATGAAACCAAAAGCATTGCAAACAACTCAAGAGACAACAAGTAAGCTTAACTATTAGCTTTTTCTAAATCTGAACAATCTGTTATAACATTTCTTTAATTTCTTTTTTGTGCAGTTCTTAGGCCTTGCTGGGTAACTGATTGGACAGAAAAATATGATATATAACTTGTAATTAATTCATTTTTTAATCCGAATTTTCAGTTTGCAAGGTCAAGTTTTCCGAATTGAATTTGAACTTGAACAGTATCTGAAATGGTTTTAATTCGTGATTTTTTGAGATTACAAAAGATTACATCATATAATTTACTATTTTACCAGGATTCAACAAAAATGGAACTTCTCAAAAGCCTCAAAAAGCTGAAGCCGGTAAGTTGCGTGTGCTTCGAATGCATACTGCACACCTGCTTGAGGCCAGAGCTATAGAAAGAAACTCAGTTGAGTGTTGTTAAGAAAAGTCTGTCAGTTCAGGCTCTGTTGTGTTCTATCTGCCTTTGACCTGAGACATTATTGCTAGCCCTTAAAAGAAAAAACCTCCTCGGTGAAGCCTATTGCTAGCAGCCCTGGAAACCCCAAAGTTAAAGAAGAATAATGCACAGATTCATTCTCAAGAGCAAGATCTAATGCTTGAGGAGTCAGCAGAGTAAAAAATCAACAAGCAGAGAAGCTGGAGCAGATTCAGATCAAACCATTAAAGAGCTAACAGGATTCATTGCCCTAGAGATACAGATGGTAATTTATTAAGCGTCCTGCAAATTCACAGTATTTTCCAGACCCAAGTGCAATTTTTCTCCTTATCATTAAATTTTTTTATTCATTCTTTGCACTATTTCCAGGGCCAAAGGAACTGCGAGGATAAACCTAATTGGGCAAAAAAAACAACCGAACACCCCTTGTAAAAAGAGAAACCCCAACTTTTACCGTTATGTTCGTAAACCTGTTTGAAATATGTATATATTTATTTGCCCTCGTCAAGCCAAAAAAAATTATTTTGCTCCCAAACAGGGAGAACCAAAGGACCAGAGTGCAAGAAAGATTGGGCCCAGATCAAAATCCTTGGAGGATGGAACTTAGGTAAAATTGTTGAAATTAATGAGGAATGATACAGTTTCTTTGCTTTTTACGTTGTTCAATTTAGATCTAAACTCCCACATTCGTTGTAATCCTTTATCTTCTATGTGGTTGTTTGTTCCAAGGACATAAATTAAACTCCATTGAGTGCTATGAAGTAAGAATTTGTGATGTAAACTGAAGTCCAAGCGTGGAGGAACTCACAACAAAGGCTTTCAAAAGGAACCGAAAAGAGGTAAACTATTTAAGGGTGATATAAACAGATCTTTCGTCTCCAGAAAAAAAAAGGAGTTTATTTGATAGTCTAAATCGCCAATTCCTTAATAATATATATACTATATATAATATGTGTCCCCTTTTTTATATGGATAGCAGAATGAAGGGCAAGAGATGGCCTTTGCTCCCAAATGATCTACTGAAGAAGGCTTGTGAACCTGCTGGAAAAGGCAAAAGAAGATTTAAGGAGAAATCAACTGAGAACGAACGTTTTTGAACATTTAATGGGAACAGCAAATGCACTTCATAATGATGCCTGTTTTGAAAGTAGTAAAATGCTTTCCGTTGTTGCTTTTTCCTGTATAGTATGAAAACATCTTTGCAGGAGAAATTACAGAAAAAGAAAACAGATCAAAGCTGTTGTAAACAAAAGTAATTTGAAAAAAAAAACAACAAAAGTAAAAAATCTGTTTATTTATTGATGGCATTTTAAATAAGAAATATTTTGTTTTTCATCTGTTTTCTCAAGAAATTGAAAACTGTAATATAACAATACTTGGAGATGGATTAGTTTTTTATTTAGCATTTAAAACCATTCACTTGTAAATATTTTGCCAGATATAAAATACTGAAGAAAACAAGAACAAAGGAGATTGCAAAATTCCAGTCAACCCTGGAAATGTGGTTATAGTGATTTTTTTTTAAATCTTTTATCTATTTGTAATATCAAATATGAAAATTTAAACCAAATAGAAATACCTGTTTAAGTGTAACATGCCTTGGTTTTTGGTCTTTAAGTATCAGGCAGTCTTCATAATGAGTAACTCAGAACCCTTGAAAAAAACTGAATGAGGAAATCATCAGAAATTTTGCCTCAATGGATCTTGAGTACCAAATCCACCCTTTTCGCAGAACTTGAGATTGAGGTGTTATGTTTGAGGTATACCAAAGTTATTTGGCATATTTTAGCTTCCCCAGAGATATAAAATTAAGAATAAAATCATCTGTCTTACAGTACAAAGATCAAATTTAACAGGCAGCAGATGTGCCATCAAATAAGGAAGATCAGAAACCTTAAGTGTCAACACAAGAATAGCGGATTAATGGTTTGCACTGATGAGAAACACAAGGTAAGGTCAATTATAAAAGTATAAGTTCTGGTCCAAAAATGGCTCTTGTACGTATGAGTGTCAGTCCAGAAAGAACTTGACCTTGTCTTTTTACTAGAGCCAGTATGACCGGATCGTTGAAGAAAAGGATGCAGAGGCGTTGGATGAGAACAAGAATGAAAGAGAGGAGGCTGTGGTCACCAGAGGGAATCACCTGGTATGAGGCAAAAAAAATTATAAATTAAAGATTATCAACTATCTATTACCTGTTTTGTAGATAAGAATCAGTTATATCCTAATATTCTGATCAAATTCCCTTAAAATCATGGAGTTTGGAATCCTTTCAAAACATAAGACTGGGAAATGAGCAGTTGTAAGAAACAGCTTGAGACTGAAACCAACAAAGAAGTATTGCCCCAGTTAGAATCCATTATAGTTTTTAATTTTTGCCTTTTTACTGGGGAAACAGAGGATCTGCTTTAACTTTGAGAGACCAGTTTTGATGCCTGGATAATGTGATTTTTCTTTTTTTCTTTTGGAGAAACACCTTTTCGTTGCTATTAGGAAAACCTGCAGAAGGAGCTAACTGATTTGAAGAAAGAAATGTCATCAACATGAAATCAACTCAGGGTGTCAGAAGCAGAGAACAAGCAGGGTACAAAGGTCAGTACATCTCAAATATGCTGCGAGTGACTATGACGTGTGTTTGTCATCATTTAACCAAGAAGTAATCTTCAATTCTAGTCACCTTGCCTCAAACTATAAACAAGGGACGGATGTTCAGAGACTCCAAAAGACAGTGCTTCAAAGAGACGCATATTTGAATTCTACCAAGACAAGGAAAACTCCTCCTACCTGGCAAAGATAATGGAAGTGCTTGCAGTTATGAAGAATGCTGGTGGGTTTTAATCTACTCAAATGTTTTTCAGGATAGGCACAAGTAAAGTTGGTCTCTATTTCAGCTTTATACTAATTGTTGAGATGAGTCGGAAAATAACTCATGTAAGCTGTCATACTAATTTGTCGCATTCTTCAAGTAATTATTAACTGGAAAGTTTGTTAAATTGGCCATTTCAGGCTCCCAGGAAAGTTTAAGTAAAATACTCTGGTATCACATGAATTCCGGCACCAATCATGTCTTTTATGGTTCAGGGAATCTGACAACTGGAATCCTCAGAGAAGTCATGTGGAAAGACACCCAAACGACAAGGTAGAGTGACAGTTTAATCTGTTCATAAAGTAAATATGGCCAATGGATGAATTAAGACAACTAAATAATCTTTTGCTTAATCTTGTCTCTGTTTTACCTGTAGCATTCATTCTAAGTAAAACTGACCCTGACTTTGCTATCATTAGGATGCTCACACTGGAGACCTGAAAAACCCGAGTATGACAAGACAGGGTTTGGCGGAACATCAAAGATCAAAGTAATATACAGTATCATTCTGACATTTTTTCCGCCAAAATGAAATAAAAATATCGAATGGGCTTTTGAGCGTGACATTTACTCTTTTGATATTCCACTTTTGCAGTCCTACCGGATAAGCGAACCACCTTTCCCTGAGAGAAAGCAGCACCTGGGGAAGAGCCCTTTGAGTTTGACCCAGTCTGTGACAGCTTCTGATCAAAATGATCTATTTGGTGAAAGTGTTTTTTATTGGTGTCAGAGTTTATTGGTCAGAGTATACAGTATCATACAGCCTGGGTTGATTTTGGTGAATATTTAATAAATGTGATTTTTGTGCGAAGGATGACCAGAAGAGCTGATTTGGCCTTTCTATTTGTCTTCCTGACAGGACCTTCGAAAATGCCAACCACGCCTCAATTTTTCTGGGCTGCCGCACCCTTTAAACTCAACCACCATAAAAGGTAACACACCTCCATAGTGGGGTTAATGCCATTTAGATGATTATTTTATGCATGTTATGCACAGACCAAAGTTGAATAACCCTTAGTTTTTTAATTTATACTACATTCAACTTTTTATTCACGATCCCAACCCTTCCACTAATTCAACCAGGAGGCTTGTGAAGCTAGGCTGCAATGAAAGGTGAAGAAGGATGCTGGGTTGGACCCGCAGTGACACGCGTGAACAAAAAAAGAAGAAAAAACAATGAGAAGATCTTTGCATAAGTAGTGCTGTTACAGGTCAGATAAACCGTATTAGCAATATTACACAGGTTTAGGAGTTGATACTCAAGTAAACTTGATATCTTAACATACATAGATGGTTTTGTTAGGGATTAAATATAACATAATAATAATAGTAACAGGCAAATATATTTCTTTACATGCAGAGAAAATATTGTTATGGATCAGTTAAACAGTATTGTTTGTGACATGCAGATTTAGGTGTTCATGTTCTAGCTTTTAAGCAAGTTTGCTTGAGATTTGGAGATAGATTTTGAGTGAAGTTACCCTCCATGTTAAGTACTTTGCAATAAATTCTATTCTATGAAATAATTTATCTTTACTGATATACACATGAAATCTCTATTTTGAACAAGTTCATATTGTTGGTGTTGGGAAACAGTAGTTGTTATGTATTACTCTCTTAGTATATTTATCTATCCTAGAGTTGACAGTGAAATCAGTAAAAGTAATGTTCAAATTGATCTTTTTTGTTCCTTTTTGAATGTTCTTCCCATCATCATTTTCTCTTCCTCTCAGACATTAGCCTCTCATAAAGAGCTTAAATGTCAATGTGAAATTTCAGTCTTGAAATTGTATGAATTCGTGGATGAGGAAAAATGTCCGTGTCCATGTCTGTTATGTATTAAAGGTGACATCTCAAACTGTAGTTAACTGTCTGTCCTCAGTGAAGGAATTCAAGGTGAAATTGAGATTGGTCTTTTGGGGCTGTAGGTACATTATTATGATACACAAAGAAAATCATTTTAGTAATCAACGTCTACAGTCTATGTGCCACATTAGATCACATATAGTTGCTATTCTTAACAACGTATTAAGTCTTATATCTACATAAGGCCTTCATGGGGTGATTTAAGCACTTGGGTGGTTATGAGGTATTGGAACAGGTTCATGTTTGACTGTTCAGACTGTGACTCCATTAGTAAACTCCTGTACAACAACAGCTTCAAATCCTGTGATCCTTTTGTTATGCATAATGCATGTCACGTTCATAGACCACAGAATGTGTTAAATGGGTCCATATCTTTTTCCTTTCATGTTTAAGTAATGCTTTATTGATCAGTTTCTACTTGCATGGCCTGACTCTCAGTCCTTTATGAATTTATGATTCATTGATGAACCTGCAAAGCTTACAGAATTATTAATTTTTAAAAATTATATACTAGGACAGCCTTGCAACTTTATATCATGACATAATTTAATACAATATAAAATGTATTTATATATTATATTTTGTATTATTAATCTAAAAAGTAACTAAATATATCAAACAAATGTAGTGGAGTAAAAACTACAATATTTGGCTAACTAAAGTATAAAGTGAAATAGACCCAGTAAATAGAAGTAGTCCACCTGTCCAGTTTCCGATAATTGATGCAGTGTTACCTGTGACGTAGTACAAATTTGAAATAAACCGTTAACACCGGAGAATTGTTGCTCGTGTCGTCCCCAGGTTAAAAACCGTCAACAGTTAACGTTTTAACCAGTCGTACAAAATATTTCATAATTAAACTTTCCAGCAATAGGCAGGTAAGACTCGGCTGTTGTTTGCCAAAATAATAAAAAATAACAACAATTTTTTAACTTAATGTTTTATGTCTTGTTGCGTTTTTGTTAGTTTGGTCGGGATTAGCTAAATGTAGCTAACTAGCTAGCCAAGTAAACTATCATCAAGTGACACCCGTTAACTGCTAGATAAACGGAAGCCCTAGCAAGCTAATTAATCTAGCCAACGGCTAAGATGACGCCAGATCTTCGGATGTAATTAAATATTGTGAAGGCTATTTGATATTATCTGTTAAAAATGCTTTTCTCTTGATAAAGTCTAAGTTAGACTTGAACGCTTAACGTTAAATCTCAGTACGGTACCTCGGTGGTGGAAAGTAAGTAGCATGAAATGCATTTAACGTTATTCAAGAAATCTTACTGCAATTACAATTTTGAGGTACTTGTACTTGAGTATTTCCATTTGTCTTCTTTTACTCCTAGACTCATATACTCCACTATATTTCATAACGAAATATTATACTTTTTACTTATTGAACTGATGTAGTTATTTTAGGAATTAAAATTTTACATTTAAACGTATAATAAGCATATAAAACGCAGTTTAATGAGGTTAAACAGACGGCTCTCAATCTTTATGACTTTCAAAACAGTATCTATTGGGGGCCTCTTGTCATTGTTTAAATGTATCCACAGAGATATATCCACTTTAAAACTTCACAGGTGGCTTCACTAAAATAACCCTTGCCAAAAGTTGCCATTATCTGTCAATTTAATTTTAGAGAAACCCCTCACATTTGAGATTTGCTATACATTGATGTGTGAAGAATTATTTGTGCTTCTTCCACCACTGCTGTACTTAACATACGATAATAACAGCTGTATCTAACTCTCTGGTCTTTTCAGGATGGAGAGAAACCAAGGTTTTAACTTCAAGCTGTTGGTGCCCCCCAGGTTGAATAATGGACAGGTATGTGCTGTTAGACCTCAGGAAATTGTTGAGAGTTGTGGTGACTTCATGAATACATTTCAGCAGGTAAGTTAAATTAGCCAATAGTTAACCAAAAGTAATATATTAATGAACTAAAGCCAAAACACTTTAATACTAGCTCAGCACTGACACAGTNGGTTGGGATTAGCTGAATGTAGCTAACTAGCTAGCCAGGTAAGACATCATCAAGTAACACCGGTTAACTGCAAGATAAACGGAATCCCTAGCGAGCTAATTAATCTAGCCAACGGCATTTAAACGTATGATAAGCATATAAAACGCAGTTTAATGAGGTTATACAGACGGCTCTCAATCTTTATGACTTTAAAACAGTATCTATTGGGGGCTTCTTGTCATTGTTTAAATGTATCCACAGAGATATATCCACTCTAAACTTCACAGGTGGCTTCACTAAAACAACCCTTGCCAAAAGTTGCCATTATCTGTCAATTTAATTTTAGAGAAACCCCTCATATTTGAGATTTGCTTATACATTGATGCATCAGTATTTACAATCTAGTAAAGTCAAATATAATAAAAACACACAAACGACTTTTACTGTGGAGAAAGTATAATTTATGGAATATTCTGTACTTATGTACTTAAGTGGGACTTTGAATGACAAGGTTTCCTTGTAATGGAGTAGTTTGACATTTTTGTACTCTGCTACTACTACCACTTTTTCCTATGTGAAAAATTGTTTGTGTGCTTCTTCCACCACTGTTGTACTTAACATAAGATAATAACAGCTGTATCTAACTATCTGGTCTTTTCAGGATGGAGAGAAACCAAGGCTTTAACTTCAAGCTGTTGGTGCCCCCCAGGTTGAATAACGGACAGGTATGTGCTGTTAGACCTCAGGAAATTGTTGAGAGTTGTGGTGATTCATGAATACATTTCAGCAGGTAAGTTCAATTAGCCAATAGTTAACCAACAGTAATATATTAATGAACTGAAGCCAAAACACTTTAATACTAGCTCAGCACTGACACAGTCGTTCAGCACAATAATTAGTCAACTTTTTATCAGCAGTGAAAGTTTTAAACATACAGTTTGTGCACTTGTGATCATTGTTTTCCATGCTGTAAGCTGAAAGCATTAATGAATGGAGGCAGCTGTTGTCTAACAGGCAGTAATCATTAATGCCTGTGATGACTAAGTGTAATTGCTGTTTTCCCCTAGGGTTACAGTAGGTGTTTTGACAAAGGACAAAACATGCCTTTCCCAAATACAAGCCTGGTCACACCAACTAAACCAATCAGACAAGGTATTTTCTATTATGCAACACTGGCTACATACTTTCAACACAAAGAACTGGCAGTTATCATACATGTTATTATAAATTCATAATTGTCTCTCCTCCAAAGACTTTCCCAATATGAAAGTTGTGCCACCAATGGAAAAAGACGAGGTAATATTTTCATTGTACACAAATGTGAAGCATGAATAGAATATACTTGGCCTTTGCAATGTGTTTATTCTAAAGTACCTCAGTTTACTTCCCATCATTGTGACTATTCCCTAGAATAATTGCAATCCTGGACAGCTTTGTTCCAAGCTCTTTGAGGAAGTTGAGAAAATGAAGTGTTGGAAGGTCAAAGTTGACTCTGACACTGTGCAAAAGGAGAGAAGACTCCAAGAAAACAAAAGGACAATAGAAACTCAGCGCAAAGCCATTCAAGAGTTACAGGTGTGTAACTCGGTGACAAGTTTTCTTTGTCTTTTTCTGTCCCTCTCTAACCACATACAAAGATTATCGATAATCAAGGAACAGCATACTCTAACACTCTTTGATATTTATTGTTATCTGTCATGTGTGTTCTGTTTTTACAGTTTGGAAATGAAAATCTCAGCATAAAGCTGGAGGAACAAATAAGTGAAAATGAGGATTTGAGGAACAAGTAAGGGTTTTTTTT